ACCTGATATTCCACCTGCAAAATCTCAGAAGCATTACTGACATAGTATACTTTTGATAGTAAGGTCATTTTAAATGAAGGGACCTCAGTCTTGACCCTGCTTTAAGTCACCCAGAGAGCGATTTCTTAATAAAAATGATGCCTCATTCTCTGCTACTGTAGCTAAGGAAGAGCATTATGATACATGCCCATGGGGACTGTGTGGCAGGCATTTTCACACACTTGCTGGTCAGGAAATTCCTAGCCGGCTTCTGTGTGCAGGGGTGTCCCCACAGCTGGGCAGGGCTCTGTGCCTAAGGATARTGACCTGCAGGGACAAGTTGTTCCCAGCACTCGCCAAGCAGCTGCAGGAGCTGATCCCTCGGCATCCCCAGGGGCCTTCACCTAACTGSTCATTAAATGACAGGGTAATTACTGCCACTATGAAAAGAAATGCAAATATTCCTTTGTGCATCAAAAATGCACAAAAGAAAAAAAATGAATATAGGATCACCATAGATTCAGATATTTGTTTAGAGTGTGGGATTTTGGCTAGTACTTCAAGAGCACAAGCACTAATATAAGCTATGTTGCCCTTTCTAGGGACCGTTTCATTTATAGCACCGTTTAGGTAAGGTTTTATGTTCTGAGGCGTAGCAGTAGTTGGAAGGGCAGCTCTGTAACCGCTCTCCCTACTCAGCCCATCTGCTGGCTGCAAACGCAGAGCCACCAGAGTCGCATCCTGCCCGGTTCCAGCACAATCATTTCTGTTTCATCTCTTTTCCTGCCCTTGGCACTGAGCTCTGGAGCTGCAGGGGCTCCGGGCTGTGGAGCCAGCAGCAGAGCAGGTTCTCAGGAGGAGCGAGCGGAGCGGGCGCCTCAAACCACCCGTGGCAGCAGGTCTGAGGCTAGCGAAAATGTTAACACTGTGAGACAAGCTGCTTGGTCTGCACTTCATGTCATCTAATGCACATTTACTGTAAGATTTTTAGCACTAATATAAATTAAAGAAAGCTCAGCTCTGATCACAGCTATATTTTAGAACGGTAAAAAGGTGGATCTGACAATTGTACCCTGGATTTCACCACAGCCAAAACCCAGTGGATTTTCTTTCTGTTGCCTTTCTTCAGCACACCCTCGCAGTGAGTTCCCCTGTTTTGTGGCTGAGTCGCTTTGCAGTGTGGTGTGGGTGCTGTAGTGCCCATGCCCGTCTTGCACACAGCAGCAGAAGTCCTGCAAATGAAAAGCCATAGAGGGGAGAGAATGGGAGACACATAGGGGAGTGAAGTGATTTGCCTTAAGTGCTGGGGCAATGCAGAAGCACGGATCAGGGTTGTGTACAGGTCTCCTTGTTCTCACACTAATGATCTATTCATTAATCATATTCAGGTCATATTTTTGCAATGGTGGCACATTCATTACAAATTTTAGTGCTTGCATCTTCTCTGGGAAAGAGATTTTTCTAAAAGGGACTAATTTATTTGGATTAAAATAAGCAGAAAGGAAAGTTAGAGAACTGTGATTAATTGGAAAATCAAATAAATAGAGAAAAAGACATTAGGAAATACAGACTTGCCTTTTGCCAATCTGTGTGCATGTAGACTAATTATGAGGAAAGGCGTGATAMAAATACACAAGTTTTTCATAATATATCTTTTTGTTTGAAGAAGAGCATTAGCATGTGTGCACCCCTTGAGGTTCACACACAGAGATTTCTTTTAACTGAATGTGTAACCTGATGGCCAGTGTTGCATCTGCCTTCCAACTAGATTGCCTGGCAGATTTAGATATCCATGTAATCAGATTAAGAGCTATACTCAGTTATTTCAAAATATAGTTAAAAATAAATGTCATTAGATATATGCAGTCTGCATATGTACTAAGATATTATCTTTGAATTTATGGCAGCTGATGAGATTCATGCCTGACCTCTTAAAGATGCTTATGTTTCAGTTTGATATTAGCAGAAGAAAAAGATTGCTACCAAACGTAACATCATGCTGTTCATTTGAAATGCGCACAGCAAATCTCACTRTTTGCACATAAATTATAGATTGTGATGCTTGAGCCAGGTCTGTGATTATCTGTTTTAATATAAATTAGTTTATCTCCAAGTTGCAGCACAATGAATATAAAGCAGAATGTTAAGTGATGGAAACCTTGAGATGGCAGTATAGGTGCTCTCCGTTTTGAGTATCCAATCACTGGGGCRTATTAAAAAAAAGCAAAACTTTCCCATTTGTGTAGAGACAAATCTTTGCGCTTCCTGGTGCTCAGCATCTCCAGGGGCAGGGGAAGGACAAGTACTGCTGGATACCCCTGTGCTGTGCTCAATATCCCTGCCATTCCAGGGCCACCGGACTATATGTAAAAAGTGACTGCCAATATTCATGAGGGAAAAAGGCTAAAGACCAGGGAAAGAGTGAAAAATGATTCCTAGAGCTCAGCAAAGAAAGACAGCAGATGAAAAGGCTCCACATTTAAATAGGTTATGATTTCCATGGGACCCGACTTGGAGTATTTGAGTGCTTGATGCYGGCAGTTCTTCGTATTCTGTCATAATTAGTTTATCACTCACTCATTTTGCTCTTCCTCTGCACTCTTCATGCTGCTATTTGCATGCAGTGCTCTGTGTCCTATTTCAGGACTGTTTCTGCTCCTGCAGAAAATCTCCCCTCCTGGATTGCCGGTTCTTCGCTGGCCTCGTGCACTGAGGGGACCTAGATAGCACCTGCAGGTGATATCTTTGTCTTGAGCAGAAAGTGGGTCACTAGCTTTTCATGAAGCTGGAGATCAGGCTTCCCTAGATTTTCCCCGCTGCTCCTGCATTTTTAAAAACTCTGGCACATCCCGGCTCTCTGGGAGGCACTTCCATGTTCCTTCCCCCAAGCAGGCAGCCTTGCCTTTCCATCCTCTGGCTGGGAGAGCATAAGGAGGCTTTCCCCACAAGTCTGGCAGTGCGGATCATGCAATTAGGCCAGACAGGGTTGCTGTAGCAGAAGYGCAAACTCCTTTTCCCCCTGGAACRGCAGTGCTGCCTCCGCAGCGCTCCATGCTTTCGGCCGGGCACCCTTAATGCATCCTCCTCACCCGGCTGCTCACCACCTGAGGCCTGAAGCATCCAGCCCTAACTCTGTGCCCTCTTCCACTCCACTGTTTGCCCTTATTACAYGTGGCATGAGAGCAGTGCCATTAGGCCATTCACTTACAGAAGCTAAAAAGCTTTTCCCGGTGGAGAGGCTGCTGTTCTGGCGAGCGCATCACGATAGCTACAGGGCAAATGTGGCCGTATCCTCTGCAGGCAATGGGGCGGCAGCGGGTTCAGAGTTAAGGCTCCTGTCCAAAGGTAACCAAACAATTCAGAATAATGCATAGCTAGAGCTAAATGGCGTAGCATAGTGCATTTCTAAGCTTATATTTCATTTGAGGCCAAGGAAAGCCTGATAGTGATTGCTTTTTACAAACTTTAATAAACTTAAACTAATGCCAGTAGTCTTCTAAACTCTCTGAAAGATCATTCTGTTTTCAAAGGACAAATTTATGCTTGGAAAAGAGAAACCCAAGCTTCCTTATTTAAGGCAAAAGTTTGATTTAAGCAAAAATATATCTAAACTGAAGGCATGAAATCACAAGTGCTTTTTCTCTGCTGTAGGCACGCTGGAGAAAGAGAAAACATGGATTTTTCCTAGTTCTCTCCACTCACGGGCTTAGATGAGAATAAAGTGCATTAGTGAGAATAAGGTTTTTATTTAGTATTTGTTAGTAGTGTCGATGAGCTTATTTAATGAGGGCAGTTGTGGTCCTGCTGGCTCAGTATGAACCGGTCCTGCTCTGCAGAGCTGGTTGGACAGTCAAGGAACAGCTCAATTTCTCCCTGCCTGGGAGATGGAGCAGAGCCTGGCTCGGAGAGCAGCGCGGCTGCGGCTCGGGGCAGAAGATTCGCTTCTCCCCGTGGCACCCGCAGCGTCCGCGGGCAGCCGGGACACGCGGGAGCCGCTTGGGTGTYGCTGGCGCCGCCACTGCCCCGGCCGCCTGCCAGGCCGGCTGTGCCGCGGCGCTCCGGCCTCGCGCCTCCCGTGGCGCCCGCACCGCGGCCTGCGGGGCCTGCTCGGCACCCGCCTGCGCGMCGAATGGGCTCCGCTTTCCACCAGCCAGAAACAAGCTGTTTGCTATTCACTGCTTCCATTTAATTTATTTCTTATTCTAGTTAGGGAAAAATTAAGGTAAATAATTTCTAGTGAAGAACAATCAATTCTCTGCATTTTTTAAAGCCAAATATTCCACTGGAGAGCCTGAGTGAAGAATTCCATGAGGTAAAACTTTTTAGTTAAAGGGTTATTGCTTCAACAAACAGTACAATAAGCAGAGGCCTCCTTGACCAGCTTAGCTTAAACAGGGACTCTACTGCAGACTGCATAACGACTGCTTAACATACAGATGCAGCGGCTCGTTGTCTGTCTTCCCCTTTCTGGGATTTTTTTAAACGCCTTTCTCGTGTTTTGTTAGGCCAGCTGTGGTGTTTTCTCCTGCTGTTGGGTTAGTCACCTTAGCAAAGGCATCAGGTGGTATTTGGAGCTTGGATAAAGATAAAAAGTTTAACTGAGGGGCTTTGTCCTTAGCWCCAAAGCCCATCCCAATGTTAGAATCCTATCTGCGTGACCAGAGAGGCAGAGAAGATGTGTCAAACAAGCTTACAGAAGAAGAATTGAGAGTCTTGATGCATTTAGTTTAAGAACATCAAATCTGCTGTGTCTTTGCTTTTAATCAGTAGTGCCTGTGAGTTATTCTTTTTTCTCTGCTTACAAAATGTCACAGGAAAGAAAAAAAAAATTCACTAATTTATAATTACTTAATAATAGCTACCTAATTACTTCTAATTTATAATTATCTGACTCCTTTTTCTTGCTACTCACAATGCTTTGAATTGGATTTAGAGCAGATAATTAGTATGTCAGTCAGCTGGTTGAGCAGTGATTGCTCAGAGGTGTTAAATAGTAGGAGGGCCACTTTTTAGGCATAGTGAGACTGTGGGAGAGTGGGGCTAAGCCTGGCTTGGAACTGGCCTGCGCAAGGGGAGGCTGAGGATGTGGAGCTGGGTAGCATTGTGTGGTGTTTGATGCTCTTCTTTCCCAGCCCGCCCTGGCTGTGCTGGACACCTTTCCYTGGAGCAGGTGAGCGAGGAGGGGGCTCTGTGGGGATGGGAATATGAGCAGTGTGATCCTGGGGACCTGCCGSGCTGCAAGGGGCTCTGCCCGGCTGACAGAGCTCGCTCCGCACCGGGCACAGGATCAATGAGTTCCCCTGCTTGCTGTCCTCCTTTCTCCTTGTTGGGAAGGCTTGTCTGCCAAAGCAGACCCAAGGTAGTCGGCTTARTCACTCTAGGCATAATCCCAGAAGTAAACGGGGTATCTCCATCCCTGTGCTGCAAAGTGGAATGACAACAGAGTGAGAAATACAATGATGACAGAATGAGGCATGGGCCTCGTTTATTATCAGGGTCTCTGTTTTCTCAGTTCCTGACTGGTTTCTTTTCTCTAAAGGGCTTGCTAATGTGTGGCAGTGTCATTTGTGGTTTTTTTTTTTCCCTTTTATTAGTAAAATATGATACAGACCTAGGGTCAGGTGTACAGGTGTTATTTATTTTAACTTGTTCTGAATGCATGAAAAGTTTTAAGTACTTGTTCAATTGTACTTTTTGAATTTATACCTACTTTCTATTAATCTGACTGCTTATTTTAAATGAAAGCCTATTTTTGATGTAGGCAACTAGATATTTATTTTATGATCTGGGGCTTCATGCACGTACTGACTTAGAATCTCTTTGTACTTAAAAATGATTAAATTAATGGTTCTGTGCTGTCCTCGCTGCACAATTGTGTTTGCAGGGGGACTCCTGCTTTGCTTACATGTTATGCCTGGCATTTGAATCTTCTTGCTCCAAATAGGAATGCCAAATAAAGGAGGATTCCAAAATACTTGAGCTCCCCTGCAAGAAGCAGTATTTGCAAGGACAAAAATAGATTTGACATCTTACAACCATCCCTTTAATGCATGTTTTAAATGCTAGGAACTCCTCTGGCGGGAAGGAGTGGGGAGGATTCTAGTAATGTATAAATAAAGTGCCTGAGCTGTAAATAACCAAAAAGATTAGAGATGGAAACTCATGCTTTTTGCATAGATTTAACTAGACTCTAAAAATCCATTTCATTTTTTTAATAGCAATTTTCCTTGTCTTTCATTTACAAATGTTTAAGATAAGTTCCTTAATGGAGATCAGGTTGCTGGCAGTGTACTAGAGTGCACTTTAATTATGCATGGTCATTTCTGAATGACCTTGAAATTTATTGACATAGAACTACCAGGCCTTGTTTTGCCCATGTTTTGCATTTTGCAGCAGTGCAGAGTCCATCCTGCTTTAGATATGTACATGTGGTATCTCTTCCAGGACTACCAGGCAGTTAAATGGTCCTGCCAGGGCGGCAGGATTACACAAAGGGCAATGCAGCAGGTGCCAGCTCTGCTGAGCTTTGGGAAAGCTCCGTAAAATACGGTGCAGTAGGAGATCCCAACCTTTCTGGAGTCAGGCCAGCAGAGCTGAGGAATCATCCCTGAGAAATGTGGTTGACAGTGGAAAGGAGCTGAGCCATGTAGCGTGATGCCTGTTTGTATCCTGGGGAAAAAAAAAATCTTTGGAAAACCATTCTGAGGAGCAGTACATGTGAATCTACTGGAATGACCTCCAAGGGTGGRTGCTGGAAGTTTGGTGGATTTTGACAGTTCAAATCCATCAGAGACGCTTGTTGCCCAAAAGGGTCGAGGCTGAGTTCAGCAGCAGAGCTGCCCGAGCAGAGGGTTCGTGTCTGCCCGTCCCCCCTGCTCCTCGACTCCCCGGGGCTCTCCAGGAATGACGCAAGGCCACTTTGCTTGCCACAGTCTCCTCGAAGCCTCCTCGTCCTCAACAGCTCCTATGTGTTTCTGGGGCAGCCAGCAGTGCTGCTGTTTTGGTCTGGTGGTAGCTCCTCCTGCCAGCTGCCTGATGTCATTTATGCCTGTTAATGCTCGTGCACTGCCACGGTAATAAGCACTCTTTAAAGGAGCCATTAAATAATCTCAGGGAATTCCTTCTTTAACATATTTATTTCCTGTGGACTTCGAGAAGACTAAAATCTCTGCATTGTCTTAGTGGTGCCTGCTTGTGTAGATCCTGCTGTACAGATGCTGGGTTTTGTCCTTATTGCTCATACTAAGTGCTGTTCCCCTGGCCAATTAAAGGTGTCTTTGTTTATCTGGAGACAGTTTTCCTGGAGCAGACTGAGGCATCATCTGCAGAGTCCTGCTGGCTTGGCATGCCGTGAGCTTCCCTCTTACTTGTTTTGAAAAATTGATYGTAAATAGCAGCTTTGGAGCAAGTGCTAGAGCAGCTTGGAATTATCCAAGCCTGGATATGATGGTGGCCATTCAGCTCCTCTGGTGGAACTGCTGCCTCCAGTTCCTAAGTGCTGAGTGCTTGGGTCTTGTCACGTTATCCCTGTGGCTCTTTTCTTGAAGGAAAACTCAGACGGGACAGAGGTAGAAGAAAAATATCATGGGAGCCAAATGGGGGCCTTTGTTTTGGTGAATGTTTGATATTTGTGAAGAAATGGGAGCACTGGGCAGTGCCAGGCTGAATGCAGCAGATGAGCAGCTGAATCCCGGCCACGGCAACCTCATACCTGCAGCACAGCGTGTGTGCTCCGCGGCCTCCCCCTCCTTAGTGAAGGATTGCACTGGGAGGTTTTATTACTCCCTGTTTAACACTCCTAATAAAAAGTTAGAGTTAAAAGCCTCTGTGGGTACTGAAAGCTGCTGCCGTGATTGCTCTCCATGGAAATCAAGGCCAACTCTGCTTTCCAAGGTGGCCTCTGTTGGGTGGCATCTCTGAAGGGAGCAGCAGGGAGGACGGCAGCATGTGGGGCTGGTGACCGCAGGTGGCAGCAGAGACGGTGGCAGCAGCCGAGAAATATTTCCTGGGTGCTTGAGGAGCTGCTCCCGTTGCAATGGAAAAATGCGTCCGAATGGGGAAGTCTTAATAAGCCCCTCACAGCTCTACACCACTTGCATTAAAGCAAGTGTCAGCAGAGCTCGGGTGCAGCAGCTTCAACCTCGTGAGTGGGAGGCTTTGGGGAGGCGGCTGTTACTGTGGTGCAAACTGCAGCATATCCCAGTGAGGACCACTGCAGAAGCCCTGCTTTTCTGGTAGCCCTGGCCAAAGGGGCTGGAGGGGTATGGCTGGCTCTGGCACAGGCTCTTGGTTTCTCTTAATTATTACTGCGTAAGAGAGATCTTTTCATCCTGTGAAAATTAAAGAATTGTTTCAGTCAAATAGCTTTGAATATAGATAAGCCAACTTGTGTTATATACGGCTATCTAAACCCCAGTGATTCTGCTGGAAATAATTCTCCTTAGGAAAAAGAAAAACACTTTGGAAATTCTGATATAACGATCTGAAGCTTTCTGMCTTAATCGGAACATTTTACACTCCATCTTCTCTGCATTAGGATACATGGGATTACTATGTRGAAGGAAGATATATCCATATTTTCAGTTATTAAAGTTAAAATCCAAGTTAGCTGTGTGGACCAAAAAAGCCAGTCCTGGCTTAAAAGGAGCAGCCATGAGCTGTGTATCACTCTTAGGGGCTGGTGGTGTTGCCAGAGTTATGTGAGCCAACAGTTTGGCCCAAACACGTTTTATGTGTTTCTTTCAGAATAGCTCCTCAYATTGCCATTTCCACTGAGTTAAAATCCACCGATTTTGCAGAAATCTTCTTGAATATGACAGTGCTGAAATCAGATGATAAACTGTGGAAGTTGCTGGGTCCAAATGCTGGCACCTTTGATGCCATCCATCTTKCCTCAGTCCTCCCACTTGTTTTGTGCTGTGTGGATACAAGACAAAGCTTCTGAATCAACTGCAAGTTTAGAGGATGGCCAAAGCCCAAGCCCGCGTGAGCGTACAGCGTGAGGCAGCATAAGATGATTCTGAGAACAGTAGAGCGTCAGGGTGGCTAATTCCAGCTCTCRGGGATACCCTGTACGCCTTGGTGGAGCAGTCCAGAGCATGTGTATTTCTCAGCTGTGTTTCTCTGGGGTTTCCATTCATTTCAAATACAGGTCTAACTCATGAGCTGCCKCTCAGGGAACAGGCAGATCTGTTAAAATTGCCATCTTTCACCAATGCCAGTCTGTGAGTTGATGAGTCTGCATGCAAACTAACAGCTTGCAGGAGGAACAAGTGCTTTGCTTGGCCAGGGTTTACATAGGCAGCAGTGAGCAATGAATCAAGGACACCTCTGCGGAGGCAAAGCAGTCGCGAGAGAGCAGGACAGAAGTGACCAAGTCTTTTGGGGTGACCCAGTGAGATTAAACTTGCCAGGGAGAGGAAAGATGCCTTGTGATTACACTAATCAACCTTTCTGGCTGTTTATATTTCTCCAGGGATAGAATTGGGGGGGGRAAATGATTCTTATGAATATTTAATATATACATTTTTTAAATGTTTAATCAACTCAGTGAATTAAGCAGACTTGCAATGAACAGATGAAGTATTAGACTCTGTGGAGTGAAGACGAGCATTTAAATTAAGAGAACAGCATGATAAGATTGTGCAAGCTGAGTCCAAGAACCCTTGATCTAGAGATTTAATGGATGGAAGGGAAGACWAGCAGGAATACATAAAAAGATCCCATTAGGGCCCTGAGGTTATCTGAGGAAAAAGGACTTTTTGGTGTGAGAAATCATTTGAAAGTGTTTACTTTTCATCCAGATTTTTCAAGAGGACCCTATGGCAGAGTGCAGAAAGGAGATAAGATAAAATAAAAGCAGGGACAGAAAATAGMGTATATTAGAGGCAATTTGCCAGGATTTCTTCATAGTCCTGAGCAGTATGAATTTCTGTCTTTTGTAGAGGGAGATCAAGAATGTAGGGAAAACATAGTCCAGTGAAAGGCATGTGGGCCTTGGGATACAGGGAGTGAGCATCTGATGAAAAGTTGACTAGTGTGTAGCTGTTCCGTGTGCCAGGAGTTAGGAAACAGGAGGACAACGTGCAGCCACCCTCCTGCCACGGGCCTGGGGGGCTGAAACGGCAGGRTGACCTGTGGGGAATAGCCCTGCAAAAAAGGGCTGCAACTAGCAATACGTGGGCTAGTCTAAGGATGAAATGATGCAGTTTTGGTTTGCAAAATAAGTGCAGTTAGAGAATGCTTCATGAGAGGCAAAATGTTTTTTATTTCTGTCTGCCACCCTATAAAATACAGGTTTGAGTAGTAATGTTGACTTTTAGAGCTGCTATGTGAAAGCACTCCTCAGCTTGTGTAATATGCAGAAAGGTATCTGGAGGGCCACATTGAAAAAGCTGGGATATCTTTTTTTGCACATCATTTCTAAGTAGTGTTATTTCAGTGAAGCTGCAATCTTGAGTTTTAACTGTGAGAACCTGTATTACCCTTCTGGTGATGAATTAGCAAGCCCACAAATGGGGAATATAGGTGCTACCATAGCTGTCAGATCACCAAACCAGTCTGCCCGGTTTGTAGCAGCAGACACATCTTTCAGAAACTCTTAAAAGATCCCAGTGTGGATAATGGGGGACGTCTGTATTCTAATACTCAGCAGAGAACTGATGTTTTGCAATTCATCTTTTACAGCAGATGAAAAGGGAAGTTTGTGAGAATTTGTCTTGTGATGCATGACCACAGGTTGGCTTGTAAAGCATCACCCCTTGTTCTCAGGGGGTCGGCTCTGCTCCTCAGCACTCCCCATCACAGGGTGCTCTTGTGGATGGCAGAAATGAAAAGAGCCTCTTCCCCCCTCCCATCCCGTGGCTGTCTGCACGGGRTGTGATGTCTGCGCCCTTTACTTTTCGGCAGTGTCTCATGTTCTCTTCATGCGCCTTTCTTTCTGCCACTTTYCTTCTTTTATTGATATTTTCATCTCTGCTTGAAACATTTCACTTTTGCTTCTTGTCTGCGGTAGACTAGGCCTTACTCTTCARGGTGAAGAGATGCCTGCAGGCACTGCAGTGGCCAAGGAGCATTTCAGTATTGCTTCCTGGGACTGTTATTGAAACAACTTGGTATTTCTCCCCACTCTCAGCTCCTGGCCTGCTGTGCACCTGTGTCCTGCTGGCCAGGAGCAGTGCTGASGCTCCAGACTTTCAGAACTGACAGTATATATGAGTAAGCTGAGATATGTTACTTGCTTTGTGTATGGCCATATATTTTTAATCTAAACTTTATCTACTGTTATGTTACCTGATGACTTGCTGTTAAGCTGGTCTGGAATTTCTCTACGCAATCAGTAATTTGTATCATTTTATCATACTTGGTCTTTGAAACATCCTGTTTGGACATACCTGTAGTTCATTAATGCATAGTTTAATAATTGATTCACTTAATAAGCACACTAAAATCATAATAATTTTTGGTGTAGCTCATTCAACACTTAKCCATCTCAAATGTCGAATATTTGTTTTCTGTCTCCTAAGTCATCCATTTTTTAATGCAAGGAGAAGGGCCAGGTGGTGCAGAATTAGCACAAGTCCCATGGCTGGCATGCAGACAAGTCCCTTCCCAACATGAGGAGGATAAGCAGTGTTAAAAGGGTGGATCAGGGTTCCCTGCGGGGTTAAGGGACCTATTTTGCCATGTTCATGCAGCAGCTCATTGAAGGATCCTGGGTGCGCAGCTGCATCTTTTAATGAGTTCCTTCTCCCACTCCTTCCCAGGCTTGCATATAGCAACTGATGGTGTGTTTGTGGAAACTGAGAATGTTTTCAGTCAGGCACCTTCTAAACTGAACTGAAACTTCTAAACCAGGAGCATTTGTTATGGATAAATATGAGATGTCAGCCTATCTGCTTTTGCACAGAACTTCTTGGGGAACTGGGGTTGGTTTGTGCGGGGACTTGCAGAATAAAGTTAGGACACTGGAGGAYTTAGCTTTGAGATAACCCCTTGGAGAGCCTTGCTCAGTATTTAACTTGGAGGCCAAGGGGATTGTGGAGGGGTTGAAATGATAGTTTGGCTGCTCCTACCTTCAGGGCCCCTCTTCCTTTCCCTCTGGTCTACGATCTCCCTCTAGAGCAGTTACGCAGCAGCAGTCAGGCTTAAAGGACTAACTGGGAGCAAGAATGGCCCCAGCATGGCCGGGGGCCGGGTGTGCGACTCCTGCCCTGGAAGCTGGAGAACTCGGGCGCTGGTGCCGCCAGCCCCACGTCCTGGTCCCGCCGCCTTGGTGCAGGCCGTGCTGGGGCCTGTCTCGGGTCAGGGCAGGCTGCAGCCTCAGCCTAAAACCCAGGGCAGGCATTTCAGAGCCTCCCCAGCACCCACAGTGCAGTGTTATTAAAAACAAACAAAAATGAGGTCTCCACTTAGATTAAGCAGCTGACTGATTTTTTTCCTCCCTTTTATTCAAGGAGTGCCTGGGAAGTCAGGGAACAAATGTTCTGTGCAAGACAAAGGCAAAAGATTTTCTCTTCAAATACATAATTTCAGAGTCGAAAGTGTGCTGTGCTTTGCTTTCTCTTGTTGCCCATATCTCCTTTTTGTTATGAACCACCTTTTGCTGTCCTTTTGAGAACTCGGAYGTTATCTAGCTATGGTCCTTTTTTGCTGCACATTTATTCTGCATTCCCATATCTGCTGCAGCACAGTCGCTGAACAACACCTGTTGGCTCGAGATGGTATTTACCTTTTCTTTTTGCTTTCATGTTTTTTATTTGTCTTGTTTTCACACATTTGTTCTGTTTTATGGGATCTTAAGAGATAAGCAGCTGCTCAGAATCTGTTTTTAAAACATCCTTGCTGTTCTGGCCTGAAAGGCCAGAACTTGAACTGCTGCAAAGCAGCAGTTAAAAGTCTGTGTTAAGGCTCCTCTGCCACCCGTGGCCTCAGGAAGCCGCATGCCGAGAACTTCCTGGGGGGGCCGCGTCCCTTCTGTGGATGASTAGCCGCCTTTGGAGGTGGCCGCCAACCTCTGTGCTCCAACCTGCCCATCCCACCCGCCCTGGAGCCCCGCGGCTCCCTGGAATGACCAGGGGCTGGGGAGTTGCSGGCCTCCCCGGCGTGCGGGACATCCCGGCCCTCAGCCGGGCCGCAGGGCCGCCCCCAGCGGCAGCGCCCTCCTCGCTGTGAGGGATGGCGCCATGAGGGCACTGGGAGGCTCCGAGGAAGCTCAGCGGGCGCAGGCCTCACGCGCAGCCCCCCTGTGTCACTGGGCTCCATCCCTTTCCTCTGGGAAGAAGCAACTTGTTCCTCTTGGGGGCTTTCTCTTCCTCATGCTTGCTTTTTCTCCCCTTTTCCCCAGGCCAACGCGATGCACAGATGAGCAGCTCTCATCAGGCAGAGATGAAGAACCAGAAAAAAGAAGTCAAAGCTGCAAGGCCCAGGTAAGCAAGGAGAGCTCATCTGGGCTCTCTTTCTCAATACTTTGAGTTAGTTTCATGTTCAGCATGGCCACTAGAGTCAGATCACCACAGAGCCATGCTCATTTGGACCCAAATCAGCAATTACAGGGCTTCGTCAGATAATCAAGGTGTTGAAGCTTGAAAGAAAAAGCAAGATAGTCAAAATCTGTTTCATCAATTAGTAGTTAGTAGGCTAGGAAATGTTTACTCTGAGTGAACTCTTCACTGCATGGTCACAGGTGCAACATGAGGGCTGTTTTGTGTAACATGGTATTTTTTGGAAACTGAAAAATAAATTACATGGTACAAACAAATGGACACACAACTCTGGTTTAGTGCMGCGCTCCTGGCTCTCTTTGAGCAATCTGGACTCAAGTTTGCTGTGGTGGATACTGTTGGATGCTAACACTGGGTATTATACAGCTGTCAGTGCTATAGTCACTGACAAATCAAGTTGCCTTCTGAGAGTGGTGATGGATGTTTGATTGATTATGACCTTTTTCCTCTGAAAACCTGTGCTATTGCAATTCTGGGTGCTTTGCTGTATTATTCAGTAGAGCTTTAGGTATCCTTAAGCAAGTGTGCAATAGGGTGCAAAGAGGTAAATGCAGTGTACAGCTCGATGTCAGCTCCAGGGCTTGCACAGGCAGGTTTAAATTAACAATGTGAGAGGATATCAAGGCTTTAAAATCACTAATAGCATGAAGAAAATGTATAGAAAATATCTGTGTTTTTCAGGGAGGAAGAAAAAAAAAGAACTTGGGGGCTTCCTATTGAATAATTATCAGGCAAGAGTCTTGGGCAAGGAAAGTATTTTTCACACAATACTTTATGATGCAATTTGTTATCACAAGATGGTATGAAGAGCCGTTATATCTGGAATTAGACAAGATCGTAGAGAATCAATAGCATCTGACTTTTAATTCAAAAAGCTGCTATAGGTTAATGCAGGAACCTGTGAGAACACTTATTTCCCTGGATCAGGCTACTGGGCTTAGCAGACCAGGCCTTAGCTTGTGGTGCTCTTGGGTTTTCACTCGGTGTGTTCGTGTACAAAGTCTGGAGTCTGGGACGGCGAGGGGACAGGTTCTCTTCCGAGATGAGGGTGAGACCCCTGGGACGCTGGGGCCAGCGGTGTGGGATGTCCCGGCCYTTGGGGTACCCTGAGTGTTTGTGCTCCTGGGCTGTGTCTGGAGAAACCTCTCTGGACTGAGCCTTAGCCCTGTGCTTTCACTTGCCTCTTCCTTTACTTGGATTATTTAGTGACTTAAAGATCACTGTTACAAATTAAGCTGCTTTTAGAGCAATATATGGGCATTGACACTCCTGCCTTTTTTGTTGATGATGGTTATTTTGCCTTTCATTCAATTCTGCTGGAACTGCCGCTTCTGTGTTTGACTTTTTGATTTAATAGATTCCTGTCAAAAACAGCGTGAAACTGGTTTAAAATAACTGTAGAAATAGAGTGTATTTTCTTAATCTTTCAGACTGAAGTTTTATTTGTTTCTGACCTTTGTAAAAATTCAATAGAAGAATTTGAAATGCTGCCTTTAAAATAAACAAAATTCAAAATAAAAAAAGACAGGATAAAAGCAGATTGCTGTGCATTAAAGACAKGATTTTGTGCAATGCAGTTTAGCTAAGGCCCATTCAAGGAGAAACTTCAACAGCTTGCCAGGGGCATTTTCCATAAGCTGGGGCTGCYGTTAGAACCTGCTGTAAATATTCTGCTCTTTTATACCTGGCAACTGTTAAACTTGGCACAAGCTTGTGTAAAATGCTTAGATAAAAAATAAACATTATTTTTTCTCTCCCTCTGGAGGTAATCATGTTAATATGGTAAATATCTTGAAGAACAAACAACTGCCGTGGTGGTGAAGACACGTTAGTAAATACTGTTATCTCGCCCATTTCATTCATAAAGCGGCCCGGGCCAGGTGCTGCAAAGCCACTAAGCTGCAGCAGAGATGTCCTTATGKCAGGTCCATGTTTACCCTGACTCAAGTCAAGCGCTTGTCCATGGCACTCGCAGCAGATGGTTTGGGTTCGCAGGCTCTTCTTCAATGAAATGTCTGTAATATCAACTTATGCTAAGGTTAACGTTTTTATTGAAGTGTTTATGAAGAAGTTCCTCAAAGCCAGAGCTGACCTTTTTGGATTCTATGTATAGAGCTTATTACATCTGGAAATGACAGGCAAAGGTTTTTATATCTATTCCTATGTCACCATTTTGTTTTTAGCTTTGTTTCTTCTGAGTTTTCCTCCCAAGTGCTGCACAGCTCATGTACAATGTCAAATACAGCACATGCTGTAAAAATAGGAGCACCAATTTTTATTTAGATGCTACCCTACTTAATAAGGTAATGGAGGTAGTGTGGTGCCGTTGGTTAAGGAAAGTGGAATAAGTGTCTGTAACCCTCCCTTGCGCTCACTACTCTAATTCTGCAGCAGGTCTAGCTGGCCTGAGAGGCAGAGTTGCTAGCTGCGAGGCACAGATGCCCTATCCGCTCGTCTCCCTGTGCATTTGCGTCTGCAGCAGGGCCACCTTAGCTCTCTGCAAGCACATTTGGTTGGGAGCAGCTGCCTGAAGCAGCACAGAGCTGCGGCGAGGCAGATGCCCAGCAGATATCAATTATCCGGGCCYGTCGGCTCACGTGGAGCTGCTGGTTTCCCGCAGGATTTGGGCAGGGCACTGGCAGGGTGGCTGGCAGCAGCAGCATTACTCACTCGTGCAGCAGTTTGTTCAACGCGTAGCTGTGTGCTCCAAACTGCCCTCAAAAGGTTTGCAAACTATCATGGCTCAGAGCTATTCAAGATGTGAAAATTCATGAGCTTTAGCATCCTGATGRGATTCCTTGCATAGGAAAGGCATGTTTTAGTAGGTGTTTGTGCTTCTTTGTAGATGTGTTTACACATAGGTAAAATAGAGAGTCAAATATCACAGAGAACTGTGGTCTAATGTGAAAATGTCAGTTTTGAGGTTTCTTTGCACCCATCATGGCTAGAAGCTGCTTTATAAAAGGTGGAGAAAGATGGAGAGAAATTGACATCTCCTCCTTTTTCTCCTGCTTTATTTCACTCATCTTTTCATATGTAGAGTTTTGAAAAATCATATTTGTAATTTGTGGCCTGTGGAGCACCAGCCTTTTGCTATCACTGTGTGATCTCTGTGCTTTCACCTCCTGTTAGCTGAGGGAAGTGTGAACTCAGAAGATGGGGAGCAAAACAAGCAGCGTTTCTCAGGCATCCAAGAAAGCTCCGGGCCTGCGAGCACTGTGTGTGTCAGCTAATAAATCTTGCTCTTGGCACAGCTGCTGCTTTTGCTCTCTGACGTTCCTGGGCTGCAGAGAAGTGTCATCTTCCATTGGAGCGTTTCTGCCGAGCGCCAGCAGCCTTTCTCCTCAGGCCGAGTGTGAGTTGCTGTCCCGTCCAGCCCAGGAGGCTCCCTGGGGACACCCAATCCAGCTGTCTCTTCTTTCCAGAGCCGCCCTTGCTGGTCATTCACCCGCACTCGTATTTCCTGGGTAGAGGAAGGCTGTAGTTTTTTTGGGTTTCTTCATTAGTGTCTTCTGGAGTGGAAGCTTCTCTTTGGTGTCACAGGGAGGGGATGTATGGCCTCCCCAGGCAATTAGGGGCATCTCCACATTGCAGGTACCCGTGTAGAGCTCTCCCTACATCCACCCTTTCAGGCTTTTGCTGCAGCAGGTTCCCAGCCATCCCTGTTCCTTAGTGCTCTTTATGTAAGAGACTTCTAATCCCTCGTGTAACTTCAGTTTTTGTGCATTGGTCTTTCTGGGTAGACACTCCTTTCTGTAGGGCTGTGATGCAGAAATTTGGAATGGATCAGAAAACATTGTGTGCAGTTAATCTTTGGAGATCCCATCACTCTGTACAATCATATAGGTGCCCAGGACCATAATACAAGAATTATTACTTGATTTGTTAGAAGTTATTTCCAAAATTTGTAAAAATGAGTTTTGTTTTTTCCCTTCTTTAGAGCAAGAATCCAACACACATAAAAATAAAAGCAAAGAGAATCCCAGTGCATGCTGTGACTTAAAATATACCAGAATACCCACGGACTATAATAAGTTACATGGATGCTAAATTAATCCTGCTGTGTCTGGATGTCTTTATTCCTCTAGAAATTCAGGAAGCTCTGCATAAGGAAGGTTTGGGAGGATATGTTTGTATTTTGCTTTCTCCTGAAAAGAAGTGACGTTGCATTAGGTGTCTCGCCTGTTACAGCCTGTAGCTCCTAGCTGTAGTCTTGCATTCACTCCTTTATGACCTTTCCAAGATATTTGTATGCTTTTCCTCACTTAGACTGTGGCAATGCTGTAAGTTGCCAGATTACTAATTTCTCGTATTTATCTTTTAGTTCAATGTGTCCTAGTTTTGTGCCATGAAATACAAAGAAGTACTGGATATTTAATTGAAAGCATGAATGTGTAAAATTAGAGGAAAGCACAAAATGGAATTTACGGAGATTGCTGAAAATAGCTGTGGCCATATGGATTTCATTGGGTATGTGTAATATGCTGATACCATCTTTCTTGGTAGCAATTATTTACCCTCTAATTCTTATTTTGCATTTAGCATCTCAAAGCCATTCAGGAGAAGCACACTTTAAGTATCATTACTACACAAATTAGTAAACTGGGTGTAAACATTTTGTAAGCAACATGTTCATTTTTTTAATGAAACATTATTTCACAGCTGCTGGCTTAGTGGGTCACAAGTTAATAGTATCTCTGCCTAGGAATGAAATTGGGCTGTTACCTTCAGTCTCATCATGAGTTAAGCTACTGTGGACTCTATCTCTGGTGCTTTGTGCTAAAAATACTGCATCAWCATTGTGCATCTTTCTCCTATCTTGTATTACCAAGTATATCATACATATGGGAACCTCCCTCTGTTTTCATGTGGGATGTCATCTATAAGTATCTTGGTATATTGATTGGAACATAATATTTAAGGAA